CTAATAGCTCCCATAGATCCTCCACTTAAGATATTTTTTTTACTCTATATACAACTCCAAACAACAAAATTGGACTCACTAATAGATTTTAAATAAAAAAAATTTACAAATAAGCAAAGCTTGCAAATGAACTAAAAAGCTATTATAGCAAATAGATAAGATGCGCTAATCATACAACAACATCAAAGTCAAGAATATTAGTTGCCTGACTCATTGTCGGGCATGGATAAATAGAAGTTCAAATAATTAGTGCATACTATGAAACTTTGTTCCTCATGTGAGGTGAATTGAGGACCTAAACAATTCAAAGTTTTTAATTATTGGATTGATGAAGATATGTTTCATGGGTTAATTGTAGAGAATTGAGGGAAGGATAATTCTGGGGATGGAGTGAGTCCAAACATTTGGGTGAAATTATGAAATCTCAAAATGGGTCTTAAAAAGTGGCAAAGATTGAATTGTAGGTGTTGCAGAAAAGGATTAGAAAAATTTAGGAGGTATTACATGAGTTGAATGTTTAGTGGCAATCAGTGAGTGCAAATTTTAACCAAAAAAAAGTAGCACTTTTAAAGAATTTAGAGTTGTGGGATATGTATCAGAAGGTAGATAAAGCTTGGAAATAGGAATCGAGGACTAAATAGGTGACCTAAGGAGATCGTAATACTAAATACTTTCATATAGTAGCTTTAGCATGGAGAAGACTCAATAATATTAGTAGTTTATGAATAAACTAGAGATTATTAAGGAGGAAATAAAGAAACAATTTTTAAAAGTGTATAAGAATAAGCCAAATGTTTGGGTCCTGGATTTAACATGTGAGTTGCAGAGGATTTCCAATGAACCTATGTTGATGATTGAGGGTCTTTATTCTGAACAAAAAGTGTGGGACACAATATGTAGTTATGATGGGGATAAAGCTCCTAGATCTAATGGATTTAATTTGAATTTTAAGTTAGTGGTCAATGAGTAAGAAAGATGTATTATAGTTTATTAGGGACTTTTTTTAAAGTTGGTAAGCTTCGTAAAGGGCTAAATTCATCTTTCATCACATTAGTCCCAAAAGTAACTAATCCAAGTTTGGTTAATGAATTTCACCCTGTTAGTCTTGTGGGAAGTATATATAAGCTTATATTGAAATTTCTAGCTAACAGGTTACGGTTGGTACTTGGGGATCATCGATTTGCTTGTGTATAAGGTAACCAAATTACTAATTGCGCATTGATAGCTAATGAGATGATTAATCTCACTAAAAAGTGTTTGAAATGGGGTTCAATTCTTCAGGAAGACTTTGAGAAGGCATACGATTATGTTAGTTGGGAGGTTTTGGATTTGGTCATGAAAAAGATGGGCTTCAGAGATAAATGGGGAAGTTGGATACAAGAGTAAGTCACCATTGCTAATGTTTCAGTACTTGTTAATAGATCATCAACTGCTCTAATTCTTTTAAAGAGGGGGTTAAGACAAGATTGCCAACTTTTCCCTTTTTTATTTAATATGGTAGTTGAGGCTTTGAGCGTCTTTATGATTTGGACAAAGGAGGTGAAGCTTTGTTAGGGGTTTTTAATAAGAGAAAATGGGAGAAAGATTAATTATTTACAGTTTGCAAATGATACAATGCTCTTTTGTAGAGTAAGGTTGAAGGACGTTGTTAACATTAAGAGGGTACTTAGATGTTTTCATATGGTATTTACTATGAAAATAAATTTTTTTAAGAGTTGTTTGCATGGAGTTGGTGTCAATAGTGATGGTCCTGATAATTTGGCAAGAGTTATTAGATGTAGAGTTGGAAAACTTCAAACAACATATTTGAGTCTTTCTCTTGGAGTTAACCTTAGACCTATTAAGACTTGGAAATCAATCTTAGATAGAGTAGAGGCTAGACTTGTGAGTTGGAAGTCCAAGTTATTATCTTTGGGAGGAAAAGTTACAATTTTGAGATTTATGTTTTCTAGTTTGCCTTTGTACTATATGCCATTGTTTCAAATTCCACAAGGGGTGATTATGGAAATTGAAAACATTTAGAGGAGATTCTTATGGAATGAAGGAGGCTTAAAAAATAAGATGCACTTGTTGGATTGGGGTACTATGTGTAACTACCATGAGAATGATGGGCTTTGGTTACTTAGTTGGGAACTTAAAAATTGAGCTTTGTTATGTAAATGGATATGGAGATATGGGCATGATAAAGGCTCTTTGTGGAGTGAGTTCATTGATGGGAGATAGGAGGTGACTCCACAACATTGTTTCTTAATCATACAATTAATAGAAATTGCTTTATGATGTGAAGTGACATTATTAGCTCCTATCCCTTACTAACAATTTTTTTATGTAGGTTTCATCAAGTTTTGGAGTAATTGTTGGGAATAAGGAAAAAATCTCTTTTTGGAATGATGAGTGGATTTAGGGGTTCATATTAAAAGAGAGTCTTCCTAAGATGTATGCTTTAGTAGTAAAAAAAAAAATGAAGGTGTGTGAATATAGGGAATGGTTTGAGAATGAGTAGGTACAGAATATTGAGTTAAGAAAAAGAGTTTTTGGGTGGGAGATGATTCAGAGATATAAACTTTATGGTTTACTTAGCAAAGGTCCTTTGGATATGAGTGTAACTGATAAATTGGTATGGAAGCATGAAATTAATGAGAAATTCTCTATAGGTTTTTCTGTAGGTTAGTGATGAATAAGGTCAGTGAGAGTGATGAAGTATGGAACTTAGTTTGGCAAGGATTGGTTCCACATAAAGTAGAGGTCTTTACTTTGCAAGTTATGCATGGTAGAGTGGCAGTCGAGAGTGAACCTTTTAGGATAAGGTTAATAAGTAGTACTATAGGTATATATGGTATTTGTAATGTTGAGTTAGAGACTGTTGGGCATTTACTTAGAAGCTGTGGGGTTTGTGGTTTAATTTATAGGGCATCTAGTGGTACACTTTTAGGGATTCTAGGACTTTATACTTGCTTGGAAAGGAGTTGTAGTTAAAGAGGGTAGTAGAGAGGTTTTAGATATGTCTTTTTTGCTATGCTTTAGTCTATATGGTTGTTTAGGAATGGGATTGTATTTTAAGGGAAGCATTTGGTTTTAGATCAAGTTTTTGAGTTAGTAAAGATTCGTATAGTTGCTTAGGCTTGAGCTAAATGGCCTAGAATTTCTAGTTCCACTCTTGATGTCCTACTTGCTCCAAATAATGTTAAAATCTTAGTAAATGTCCTAAATTAGCTGTTATAAGGGATTAGGTTGCACCTTCAGAAGGAAGGTTGAAATTTAATGTTGATGGGGCTGTTAAGGGGAATTTAATTAAGGTGGGTACTGGTGGGGTTCTAAGAAATGAGTTGGTTGAAATTAAAAGTATGTTTTCTAAATCTATAGAAGTGCATGATGCAAACTACATAGGACTTGAAGCAGTACTTGAAGCTCTTAAAATTTTTGTATTATCTAACTGGCCGTCTGCTCATTCCTTGTTAATTGAAAGTGATTCTACCAATATTGTGAAATGGGTTAGTGACTAGAGTAGTGCACCGTGGAAAACTAGGAATTGGTTACTCAAAATTGAGTCTTTCAAAAGGAAGACAAGAAATTGGAAATTATACATACCTTGAGAAGTGCAAATGGAATTGTTGACCAATTCACTAAAGATGTGGTATTGAGGGAGAATGAGTTCATTTCTATTGTTCGTTAATGCTAGTTATTTTGTCATATCTTACTTGACTCGAGGAATGAGAGAGAACAGTTTTGGGTTCCTACAAAATTAATTCCATTCATGTAGCATTGATAAAGGAACATGATAGCGTTGGTGTGTGGACTTTGCTAGATTATTGGAGTACTATGTTGGCCATTTTCAACGGAGATGTGTACAAGTTATTAGTAGTGTGAATTTGTTATTTCTTAATTTTGATTAATTGTTAGAGGTTGTGTTCTATTGACTATGTTACAATTGTGAATAAATTGATAAATGTATAAGCAATTAAATCACAACAACCATTCTTCTAATAAAAATTTTTCCATCTTCTATTAAAGTTTAATTTTCAAAAAAAAAAAAAAGGAGAAAACTCAAAACCATAACTTTTTTATAAAAAATCTAATTAGAGCACCAAATGTTTGATTTTAAGCTAAAAATGCTAAATCTTAACTCACACTTTAGCAAAAATAAAAAATTTCGAACAGAAGGAAAAAAATTCGCATGAGCTTAACAAACGAATTCAAGCTTTATTGAGGAAAAAAAACTAAATATTCTTTATTCATCGATTAAAAAGAAAAGAATACGATACAAAGAATTTGTTATTTTTTACAAGTATGGTTTCATCAATTTTTTGGGCAAGTGAACAAAGCATTGCAAGTTTATGGAATCTGGTATAGTCAAGGGTAACAACTTGCAAATGTTAGATGTCTAAAGGCTTCTGTAAAACCTATGAACAAATATTTTCAAAATAGATATCATCAAGACAAAGCTATAGATGTTAGATATAGAAAAGGAAAGCATCTAATAATTCCACCAGTAGGTTAACCTATTGTATCCATAACTCATGCTTTCCATACTAACTGCTCCCATAGCGTTTCCGCTTGAGGCATTTTTTCTACTATATATATACAAATCCAAAAGACAAAATTGAACTCATTAACAACGTTTAACTAAAACAATTTACAAACAGATAAAGCATGCAGCTAAACTAAAAACCTATTTGAGTTGAGAGATAAAATGTCCCAATCATAAAATAGCATCAATTCAAGTCGAAATTACTAGAACCAAAAACAATTTGCATTTTATGTCTTCTCACTAAATATGGTCATCATGTCTTTCAAACTTTCCTTATACTAACCATCCAAGAGTAGGTAGAGTTCCATTCCCTCTTTAAATTGATATTACCATGTAGAATCCAAAAGTAAACAACTCATCAACCAATGTAGCAGCTTATTATGGTAAAGACATGCCAATTATTTCACTTTGCTTTGCATGGAAAGGGCCAAAAATACTTGAAAAGTCCAATAACAGACTAATCAAGGCTAGTTCATTTCAAAAAGGCTAGAAAGAGTTCTACCTTAATTAGAAGAACTCCTTTGTTTAATACCTTCTTTTTTAGGCCAATTGCAAAGTCTTGTGATATCTCATTTAGGTTCCCTTTATGCCTATTGACAATTAAGCATGTTAAATCTAGAAAGACAGTAGAAAAACACAATGAAAAGCTAAAAGATGTCATGATTTCTCAAACAACTTCTTTAGCATTTTAGCAGAGAGCTCATTTGGATTTATAACATCAACAAACCATAGTATCGACTTGCCAGCCTTTCAAATCTTGAATTATTACTCTCTTATCTCTTCTTTTATTGTCTTAGAATCTATAGGTAACAAAAAGTTAAGGTGAAATTCATGTATGATGAACCCATACCACTTTTTCTATAATTATAATTTTTTTATAATATTAACAAATATGACAATTTGGTTAGTTCATAGCTTGAAATGAAGAAAAAGATCCAATCCTTTATTGAAACCAAAATACAAAAATGCATCATAGCCCAGAGTTCAGTGAGATTGTTCTATATAGGTGTACTAGTCATCAACAACCATCTTAGCATAAGAAAGCAATCACTAAGGACATTATACAAAACCTATTAAAGGTCTACAAATCAGAATGTCTTATTTCACCAACCTAGATCAAACATACATAGAAATTACTTTATAAACCACAATATCACAAAGAAAGTGATTCATAGAATAACATGAAAGATATATCAAGCTATCTTAACCATACATTGGAAGGATTTTCAAGCCTTTGAGCTTTATCAATTATAGTATATGCTAGGGTATTTGAGAAAGAAAATGTTGAGCCATCAATGGTATGTCATATGTTGTGAAGAGCACATCAAAGCGTAAGGACAAAACTTGCTAATAAAACAAAAAATTCCTCGAACATATGACTAAAGTGAAAACTAATGTTTTAATACACTTAGAACTAGAGTAACATAATAACTTTGCTAGATTTTAAATAGAAAAGTGATTTTGATCTTCTAAGCAGGAAACTCATATTGGATGATAACTTTTCTTTTACATGTGCCCTAAAACAAACAAACCCAAAAGAAAAAAATATGGTTGAGAAATAATGGCTAAAATTTAAGGCAAAAAAAAAATAAAAGAGAAAAACAAAGATTGAAAGTAAAAGAAGAATAGAGCAAGAGAAAGACCTAAAATAGGGCCACGATTAGCTTCGTCAATGTCAATAATGCAGGGCATAAAAGCTCATTTAGGGAAAAGAGCATCCTATCCCATAAATTTAAAGAAAATTTCCCCTGAATACATAAAAAAAAAAAAGAAAGCAAAAGTAATAGAGATAAAATACCTTAATTGTGTTTTATGTGCCAAATCATGATCATCTTATGTGCAAGAATTTGAGTTCAGAGAAATTGAAAGCTTAAAAGAGACCATTGAATCAAGTAAACTTTGAGAAAAGATGGGGAGATCATTAGTTCTTTTTGTAGTTGTAGTGAGCAAAGAATAATGCCAAATTTTTTCTTGAAAAAACATTACTAGTAAATGTTTTTCCATAATTATATATATTTCTAAAGTTCAAATAATATAGTTTGAAGTCAAACACCCTTACGACACAGTTCTCTTGCAGACATAAAACTATTATTTTGATCAAACCTTCTTCCATTACATATAACCAAAGTAAAGTAAAACATCTGAAATGCAAAGAAAGTGATAAGTTAATGCTTGCTAATAAAAATAAATGTATTGGCTAATACTAATACTTACTAATACTAATGCAAAGATAGTGATAAGCTGTGAAACTAGCATACCTAATATGAGGTAGAATTCTTAATATCCTAGTTTGATTTTGAATAGAAATGATAATCTGTCAATGGAAGCAAAATAAAATAGAATAGCAACTAAGCAACCTTGAATAGGATTTTAACCAAAAGTACACATACTAAATAGCCAACAAACCAAATTGCTAAATATTGGCAAATCAATTTGTAGCAAGAGAAAAAAGTTTAATATTATGCACCCAAACTAAAAGAAACTGTATTAGAATATGAAATCGAAACAACAAAAGTAAAGTTCTTAAAGTGGTTATCCTTTCTAAAGTAAAAATATAGCTAAACACTAGGCAACAAATAATACCAAGTCTAGCAGATATACTATTGCATCCATGCCCAGCCCCAAATGGATCATATGCATTCCTCATGGAGAATATATTGTAATGCAACCATCAATCCCACTGTTGCCAAACTAGCCTTGAAGGGTCTTTGAGTTCTTGACATTATTCAAGACAACTTTGAATTGATTTTATCAGCTAATAATTTTAGTTCCTACAGACACAATTTATTCTTGAGTGTGTTTAAAGCATATGCATATATAAGGATCATGAGGTTCAGAACACAAACCTTGATAGTCAATATTTTCAAGTGGATAAGATTTTCAACCACATCAAGTATAGGTGTAGGGACTTTCTCCCAAATCAAACCATCAATATCAAGCAAAGAACATATTTATATAAGCTAGACATAATCTTTTGTAGAAAAAAATAGAATATGTAGAGCAAACCAGACAATAGAGATAAGAAATCTTATTGATTGATTTGAAGAAAGAAAGCAAATGTAAACCCAAGATAGATTGAATGCAAGAAAGCGAAAGAAGCATATAGTTGAGACCTAAATTGAGACAGTGATGGAACTACCCAAATTAAAAGTAGAAAGGGAGCAATGGAACCAAGGACTCAGTCATAACACAAAAATACATTGTGCAAAAACGATAATGAAGAAAAAAGCCCTAGACGACATAAGTGGGAGAAAAAAGAAGAAAGTAATATAAGGAAAAAAAAAGAAAAAGAGAAAGAGAGAGAAAAATAACATATTTGGGAAGGTTTTAGAGAATAGCAAAAGGTAGTAGAAGTAGGAGAACATAGAAGAAAGCACCCAAAAAAACCCTTGGTATTTTAAACCAAGAGCCGAAAATGCCCTTCACTATTATAAATGAAAAGTCCAAAACACACTCGAAATGTTAAAAATACCATGGTCACATATCAGTTCATTGAAAACTCGAAAATGTCCCTCAAAAACTAAAAAATGACAAAGCCACATGTCGCATTTTAAAGGGGGTGTGTATGTTAAAAATTAATAATGATAATTAATATTTAATGTTAGAACTTTAAATTGAAAAATGTCAAAATGGCTTCAAAGCGTGTAACAGTGCCACTGTCCTTAAGGTTTTATTTGCCTTTATTGATTGTGTGTAAAAAGGTTGCAGGTGATAAACCTTGAGGATACAATGATGCCCAAGAATTGACTATATTTTGCACTGACAAAATCAATCCACTGAGCATCCACTAATGTATGGCAATATTACCTAAACTTCTATAACATTTTCTATAGTAAAATGATATAGAAGAAAATTTGGAGCATATTGAAAAAGAAGGAGAAATTGGTTTTTTTTGTGTGTCTTTTTTGTTCTAAAAGAAGGTCCTTTTTATAGGCAATTGTGATAATTTCCAACAAATACAATTGTATTTGTTTCAGACAGACATTGTCTGTTTCTAACAGTTATGTTTGTTGGTTTTCCAATAGACATAATTATTTTCCAAACAAACATAACCAAATTGTCTTTCAAACAAACTTAACTGTTTTCAACAGTTATTATTTGTTGAGAAAAATTTAAAAATTATTTTAATTGCTTGCACATGCCATGTGTCCAAGTGCTAAGTGCCATTATAATTAATTAAATATTAAATTTAATTAATTTTAAGACCAACTAGGCTCAGAAAGCCCATCCATAGTCCATTGCCTACTAAAGTCCAATTATAATAGATTTATACTCCTTTTGATTTAAATGACTCTTTTTCTTTTTATTTCTAATGTAGGATTTTGTCCCAAATTCATTATTGTTGAAAATATCCAACATGTAATTCTTAAATATAATATAAAATGACAATTTACGAATACTAGTTTTTGAGTCACATGCATTGCATGTGATTTGACATGTTTTTTCACAAAAAATACATTGAAATATTAAAAATTATTGCCTATAAAAACTATTAAAATTTTAAAAAATAAATAAATATTAGTTATTAAATGTATAAATTTATAAACTTTTGGTGAGACTGAGAAACTTTTTGTTACAATGATAACCCTAAGAATTTGTATAGCCAAAGAATAACTATTTTAAATTTAAAGTGGCAATCCATTTGGACAATAAAATAAGGAGAAAATAATCATTATTATGAAAAATTAAATTTGAACTATAAGAAATCATACTATAAAATGCTAATAGATACAATGTTTTAAACTTTGAGATGAAATACTATTAATTATGGTCATTAAATACGTCATAAAGAACTTTTAAATTATAACTTGAACAAGTCGAATTTTAGAGTACTTAGATAATTAAATTAGATTGGACTTTATTAGCATAATTAACATTTAATTGAAAGTCACTGAACATAATTAAAATACTTATTATAAATTAGATGAGTCTTATTACTTAATATTAGATTAATTAAAATTTATGTTAAATGACAAATTAGAAATGTAATGAATAAAAATATTCATCCTTGTCAATTAAAAAGTTTTTTTTTATGTCCATATTTTGATATATCATAGTAATCAATAAAGATGTCCTTTCCGTTCAAAAAAATTTTACACATGCCCATACTTTTAAATATAATAGTATAGAGTAACGTGCATTTCATGTAAAGTTTTTTATTATTTTTTCTTTTACAAGTACGTAAATATTTGTGTAAAAATATATATTTGAAAATAATTCATAACTATATAAAATTGGTAAGACAACAATTCAGGATGACCTATATATAAGCCCTAATCCTTATACTATAATATTTAGCATTATTATAATATAGTAATTATATTATAAATAGATATATAGATAGATCCCTATGTTCAAAGATGAATGATGGGATAAGGAAAAAAGTAAGATTGAAAAGTGCGCAAGGCAATTTTTTTGGCAGCAAATAAATCAATGAATTACATAGTAGAGGACATGAAGATAAGGCTGACCGAGAAAGGAATCTGGAAATCCTGGCATGGACCCCAAAGTCCAGAGATTTGTACCCTACTTTTGTGCTGCTGCTGGGTGTTGGTCCGACAAGGTTGGCAGCAACATTTATTAGTAAGCTGTTGTAGCTGTAATTTTTCTAGTTTCACGCTACACTAACATTGTAGTGAGTCATGCCATACCAACATTGTCGGGGCTTGCTACTCGGCATCTCATTTCGGATTAAACTAGCAATTGTTTAATCTGATTTGGCTTCTTTTAATTTCTCTTTTTAATGATCATATCAAAGTTTCCTTCTTGCATGATTTTGTCATCACACGATTTTATTGTTACCTCATTTTTTTTTTGTAAATTATTATTATATTTTTTTATCTTATGTTTATTCATAGGTAATAATTACATAATCGATATGGCTTTACTCTAGAGTTAAATTTAATAATTGAAATGTTTGATAGAGTTTTGGTTTGGTGGCACAAAGAGGAGCTCGTTAAATAATACTTATTATTTAACTTTTTTTCAGAGAATTGTGTCCTTCTTGTGTGACATCCTTGACACATTATATTATGAACCATTGGATTTACTTTTTGCATATTTGGTTCACATAATGGAGTCGAAAAGAATACACAGTTGTTTTGTGGGAATAAAATAAGACAGGAATATTATAGAATAATTATTATGTAGTTTGATTTTTAGAATGAAATGTTAGAAATTTGGAAATGTGGTGCCCTAGAAAGCAAGTATATTTTTATGTTGAATTTTATGTAATTTATTTGTAATTAAAGTACCTTTTGATAATAAAACAAAGAGTTTGTTTTATGTAAGTATTCATTATTTAATTATTAAAGTATCATGATTCTATTGATATATTAAAATACATTTGTATGAAGAGTCATGCATAATAGACATGCATTTTAATTGAATCTAAAAATTATTCACGACCATATAGTAAAGCTGGTCACTTTATTATGTTAAGTTTGTAGTGTCTAAATTACTTCCAATGAAATGAATGTCATTCATCTCAAGGGAATGATGAGTCTCAAATCATCGAAATGGTTGACTTCAAATAATGACACTATCACATGAACTGGAATCATGTGAAAATCAAATTTAAGTTTAACTGTTACTTAAATCTTGATTTTACACTTATGCATTTGCTTATAATAGAACCGAAATCTTGATGGATAGTGGACTCGTGTTTAATCTCCTTATAATCTTTGATATACCATAAGCATTATCATCATAAAGTGTTGATCTAGACT